TTGGGGCCCTTATAATAAGGAGCCTACTATTAGGGTACCATATTAGGGTCCCCTCTTTTCGGAAACTCCCATGTCATAGGGACGATAAACCCACCGTAAAACATGTAACCACAAAAGGGCATCGGGTTTCAGAAAGTTTTGTTTTGAGGTCTGAGTCCTAGACTCTAAACTCAACTCCGGATCCTGATTCGCAGAAGCCCCTATAAATAAGCCTTAGGCCGTAAACTCCTTAACCGGACAAGTGTTTGGGTCAAGGACTCTAGGTTTTAGGGTATGGAGTGGGTAGTGTAGGGGGTCGTGCGCCCTTCTTCTTGTAGTCATGGTCACGACAATCTGATTTAACTAAGTTGCACCGCCAAACTGCAACACCATAGAATAGTGCAGCTGAGGATCATAGTGTTCGGTACCTGGCTTTTGAACTGTCTAGTTTCAGGTTCTGCCTATGTAGGGTTCTTTCCCGTAGTCTTCGAAGTCTTCAGGATGTCGCGGTTATCCCTGCGAAACTGCTAATTAGTGGCATACTCGTGGAGGGGAGCGCCATGCAGACTCGAATGAGGATGCAGAGGGTCAGTTTCTATTGGCAGGCAGGCAATGCCGCCGCGAGACGCGGTGCGGACAGAAAACCTGCCTTCGATCGATGACGACAACCAGGGCAAGAATATTGTCCGGCAAGTGGCGAAGGCCAGGTGCCTGGATTGAGTACTTCCGGGCACATTTGGCGCACTTGGATGGCCGGAGAGCGGGCACATGTGGCGACATCTACGATGTGAGTTTCGGGTTTAGGGTGTGTATAGGGTTCCCTGACCCTCAGATAACTGAACGTTCTGTCGCGCTCATGAATAAACCTAAACAGCCTAAACCCCAAGCCCATGCACCGACAAGTCCTAGAGCCGTAAGCCGTGAACCTCAACCTTACTTAAAGGCTCATGGGACTCAGTATGTAAGGTTATAAGTAGGTTATAATTAGGATAACCACACTTAGGGGACTTATAACCCCAATTATTACCTACTTACCAAGTCCCATGATCCTTTAAGTATCCTAAACTACCCCTTCTAGAACCCCTATATAGATCCCTTAAAGGAGCCCTTTAAAGGAACCTACTTACTAAGTCCCATGATCCTTCAAGTAATCTTAAACCGAGAGCCGAAATCACAGTTTTGGGGCTCAAATTGGCCTCCTAGAGCAACGAAGAGACTGGAAGACCCCCCCAAGCAAGGAATGTGCCGTAAAGCATACCAGGGATCCTACCATAGTTTAAGGTATAAAGTATAGCAAAACCTACTAATTTTAAAGCCAAAATCTTCAATCTCAATAAAGCCAGATATCGATAAGTTGTGTTCTATATATATATATATATGAGATTGTCAGATGCCTTAATTAAGGCTAAGGACTGTTGGAAGTTCTGGCAGGGTTGTGCCTTAAGATCTCAGCACTTCACAGCCGCAGCGTAAACCCTGTAAACCCTGAACCGAGAGCGGTGAAGGGGATGGGGCTTACCTAGTAGTAGAGTAGGTAACCTTGAACGGCAAAAAGGTTAACCTTTAGTTCCCCATGATACCCGAAATTTGGGTTTAGGGGTGAAGGGATTAAGGTATAAAGTTCTAAAAGCCACACCCTACTGGCAGATTCTGTCAGCAGGCCCGGGCACGTTCTGAAGGCCCACCAAGGGAGGCCGGGATGGTTGTAAGGGCCCACAAGGTCACAAGAGCACAAGGATATTTGAATTTTTTGGGTGAAAGCCAACTGTCTATGAGGGATTTTCGCAAACTTTTACTGTGAGATCTTATGTTGATGGGATCCGATGAGGCTAAAGATTTTGATGTTGTTGCCTGGTAGCCAGACCTCGCACGATCCCTTACTTAAGGAGTCTACCATTCTCTGACTAGGGATCCGTAAACCCCTTAAACTTGGAAACCGGATTAAGCCCAAATAGTGCTGGGATTCCCGATCTATTACTCTTAAAGATTGAGGCTATTGGGTTTCCAACTCTTTGGGCTTCTACTATAGCCGAACAGGGGGTCCATTCCTTAAAGGGCTCCTTAAAAGGTTCTATGAGGGATCTTTAGGTTCCTTAAAGGGTTCCATAAGGGATCTATAGCCCGATATATTACGCTTAAACTCTTTGGGCCTCTACTGTATTCCTTAATTATAGGATGTTGGCGGGTGTGGGCATAAGCCTCTTAGGGTTTAGGGTTTAGGGTTTAGGGTTTAGCGAAACACCCAACATCTGGATCAGAGGGTACCTTTCAGGTAGGCCAAAGAGAGCCCTAAACCCCAAATCGACCCAAGAAACCTTAGCCCGAAACCCCTAAACCCTAAACCCCTAAACCCTGAAGCCTCAACCCTCAACCTTGTAATTTACGGATGCAGCTTTGTGAGAACACCCTCCAGTGGCAACTTCTTGGTTCGTTTACGGCTTTAGTTGGGGTATAAGGCTTTTGGGTTTTGGGCTTTAGGGGTTTAGGGTTTGAGGAGTTTTAGGTTTCGGGTTTGGGGCTGTTGGGTTTAGCATAGGGCTTTAGGGTTTAGAGGCTTGAGGTTTACAGCTTTAGGGCTTTAGAGTTTGAGGTCTCAGGGTTAGAGGGTTTAGGGGTTTTGGAGTTTAGGGTTTAGGGGTTTCCAAAATTACAGAAGGAACTTTGTTGGTGTAGTATGATCTTTCGTATCTCCCTTCATGAAAAGATTTTGGAGACTCTGTTTTTGGCGAGGGTTTCTTCGGGGTGTTAGGAGCCCCGGACCCCAGTACAGCGAGCAAAATCGTTCCAAAACCTAAATTAGGATGCCCAGTAGTACCCTTATTACTTTTTTGTAGTCCTAGGTTCCTTATAAAGCTACCCAATACCCAAAAGAGAGGCCCTTTTATTCTTAGGTTACTGGGTATCCTAGCATTAGCCTTGGTTGGAGCTGCAGAGTGGCTGTACAGAATATACACCTTACTTGCGACATCACCTATATCCCGGACACCCCGGTAGGACTTTTGATGTTGGGTACCGTGGGTTCATCCCAGCCTTACTTGGAGGCTCATGGGACTTAGTAAGTCAGGTTTTACGTACCTGAGTGGGCTTATAAGTGGTTCTATAGTTACCTGATTTATAACCCCAGTTGCTAAGTCCCATGATCCTTTAAGTGGACCCTAAACCCTAAACCCCATAGACTCCTTTGAACCCTATAGATCCCTTTAAAGGAACCCTTATAATCCCTTTATACTAAGTCCCATGATCCTTTAAGTAAAGGCCCGAACCATATATTCCCAAACATTGCAGCGCGGGATCCTACAAGGATCGTCATACGGTTGGTGATATAAGTCCTGCATTACCCATAATAAGGAATATACCATAATTCCCATAGTTTAGGGTCCTTAAGGTAATGCAGGGTTTATCATTATCATCAACAGTATTTCCTTGGCGCACTTGTCCAGCAGTGGTTTGATGATGAAGACACGTGGCTGCAAAGCTTGGGCCCTAATGGCACCTTCCGCAAAATCTTTACCCTGCTGTACGCAGATGATCTCATCCTGCTTGCAACATCACATGCTCAGGGGCGACAAGAATGCTCCAACAAGTCGTGGCAGTCTTCCCCAAAGGGCCCACAGTACCGATATAGTAGAATGTAGGGTTTCTATATTAGGAATTACTACTATGATTTGGGGAAGTATTCCCCATAACAGTACATACTTAAAGGCTCATGGGACTTAGTAAGTAAGGCTATAAGTAGGTTATAACTAGGATAACCCCGCTTAGCGGACTTATAACCCCAATTGTAACCTACTTACTAAGTCCCATGATCCTTTAAGTAGGACCCTTTGGGTTCAAAACTGTCGGTCTCCAGCTCTCGTTGCAAAAGTGCAAACACATCGCCTCGCCGTGTCCCCCCAGACGCCCCATCTACGCTAGTACCGTTCCAATACCCCAAGTCCCTTCTTTCAAATTTCTTGGGATTTTGATCGTGTTCGGGCTTTCTTGTCAAAGTGCTGAACCCCAGAACCCTAAAACTGGACAAAACCCGGAAACACCGCATGAAGCATATAAGTCAACCCCTTAACCCTGAACCGTGTAGTCCAGGGACGTAAATATTTGCCTATACCATTTTGGTGGCTCCTTATTATACTTATAGTATACTGAGCCCTAAAACCTTGTTCGAATCATCAAGGCCCCTACATTCTAGTATCCTTATATTATAGATCCCTTATAGTAGCCCTCATAGACCCCTTTAATCCTAGTCTCATTATTCCTTTCAGGCTGGACTACATCGCTCTCGTTGCTTGTCCCTGGAGGGACCCAAACGCCGGGTCTCCTTCGGCAACGAGGCAGGCGGGAGGGGATGCTTGGTGCCACGACAACTATACATTATATATGTACATATACATATAATATATATATATATATATATATATGTATGTATGTATGTATGTATGTATGTAAGTACATATATTACATATATATATATATATACACACATAGATGTATGTATGTACATATACAGACTGCAACAACGACAGTCTTCTGCGATTCCCGCCACGACAGTTCTGTGACCGCGGTTATGTTGCTCTTTCTGTCGCGTGTTTCGGCTTGTACTTGCTTGAATTCGCAGCAGCATTTGTGAAAGACTTTGTTTTTTCAAGTTGTGTTCACTTTCAATATGCCTACCACTACAGCTTATGTGTGAGCATCATAGCTGAAGCTGGGATAGTCTGACGCACGCTTCCAAGCCAGACGGTTCAAGCCAGTTTCCCAGTCAGAGACCATAGAGCGGTTCCACGGGAATGCCCGCAGAAGCCATATCTCTAGAAGCATTGAAGGAGTCGGAGTCGTCTACAGCGCCTACACCCGAGTTTTGTTCAACATGAAAGCAAATGTTAGACTAGCTAACCCTAAGTCTCAAAATAGTCGAAGATGTATTGTCTTGGGCCAGCGGCCCTTAAAGCATGAGTGCTCACCCACTGCACCGACCCAAGTGCAGCTACCCTTCACAGTAGCCCCCAGATGCGCCCAGTTGCGTCATGCATCCTTCTGCGCCCAGTGGCGCGATGAATGTTTCTGGCGGACTAAGTCCCCGCGACTGGGGATCAGTCCTTCATGGTGGGTCTGTGGTGGTCAGCAGCACGGGCATCAACTCCGTCATCAACACACGCCATGCCGCAGGCGGGTCTATGGTCTCTTCCAGCTCCTGCAGTTCCTACCCGAATCTAAGTCTGGATTTGGAACTGCTCAACTAGTTTGACTAGGTTCCTAGTAGTACCCTTTTGCCCTTTTGGTTTTAGGGTATAATAAACCGCAGAGAAGGGCAAGGGTACCCTTATCATAAAGGGGCTTCTCAGAAACCTATAATGTAGGAACCTGATTAAGAAACCCTGGGCCTATAACCCCAAAATAGTATTCATGTAAGGAACCCTAATAAATGCCCAAGGTTTCTTAATCTGGTTCCTACATTTGTTGAAATCCCACAACCCTAAACCCTTTTTCTTTTGGGCTGTGAGGTCGCTCCGGGTGAAGCTGTGTGGGTCCTCTCGGTTTCTAAGAGCCCGCTAGGGTATCGGGGGTTTAGAGTTTAGGGCTTAGGGTGTGGCAGCTACTTAAAGCATCATGGGACTTAGTAAGTAGGTTATAATTGGGGCTATACGTCCCCTAAGTGGGGTTATCCTAATTATAACCTACTTAGAACCTTTCTTACTAAGTCCCTTGAGCCTGTAAGTAGGGCTTCGGATTTCGGATCTAGTAGTTTAGGGTTTAGCATTCAGGGTGTGGTAGTTAGGATTTCGGGTCCCGCAGTTGGGGTTTCAGGGGCTGGTTACTATTACCACTACTACTACGACGACGACTACTACCACTACTACTACGACTACCACTACCACTACCACTACCACTACTACTACTACTACTACTACTACTACTACTACTACTGCTTCTACTAGTAGTACGACGACGCCTGCGACGACGACGACTGCTGCTACTACTTCGACTGCTGCTGCTACTGCTGCTGCCACTGCTACATTTGCTACCACTGCCATTGCACTGCCACTGCCACTGCTACTGCTGCTGCTGCTGTTGTTGTTGATGCAGCTGCTGCTGCTGTTGCTGTTGCTGCTACTGCTACCGCTACTTCTACTGCTACCCCAAAAGGGTCCTTGGATACTTCAGCAAAACATAGTAGCAATTCCAAATAAAGAAACCCTTCATTCTACTAACTACATAGGTACTTTGGGCACTGCTTCTGTTACTGCTACTGCTACTCCTGCTCCTGATCCTGCTCCTGCTCCTGCTGCTACTTTTACCGTTACTGCTACGACTACCACTGCCACTGCGACCACCGCTGCCGCCACCGCTGCCGCTACGACTACGACGACGACGATGCTACTACCACTACTGCTGGTCTAGTCAGTGGCAATTTGGCTTGAGTGGTAGCTGTACACTGGTAGTTTCGGAAGCATCGGATCCTCTGTCTGGTGCGTAGTAGGGAACGGGGCAATGGATCCCCCTCTTATAGTGAAACCCAATAAGGTCTGGATAGATTTAAAGGGTTCTAGACGGGATCTAAAAGGTCTAGGGCCTTTAAGGAGCTAAAGCCCTATAACCCTTAACCCTGAACCCCTAAACCCTAAACTGTTAAATCAAACCCTAAACCCTTTAAACAGCCAAGGACTGGGGCGTTGCAAACTCCCGAGCTTCTGGACAGCACCCGCGATTTGATCGTCTTCAGCGATGCCATCACGCGTCACTTGGCGTTCTTCTGGTTGACCCTTAGGACTTTAACTTTTTGGGTTTCTATATGAGCTATGATAAGGAGGCTAAAAGTTTAACTTTTTGGAGGGGCTCAGCAGTCAGTCAAGGTCATTTCCACGTGGTCATGAGCTGCCTCGCGCAGAACGACCAGGACACCCTAAAGCCTTAAGCCCTACACCGCTAAGCCTGCCTTGACCCTCAAGACTAAACCCATCCTCCCTTGACCCTAAACCCTAAACCCCAAATAACAATATCTTGACCCTAGAGACTGGGGACCAGGATTTGCGAACTGGTGCCGACATGGTTCACGTCCTGGTTGTTGGCTTAGTCGGTGCAGCACAGGCCAGACAGGGGTTTGAACATCCTGAGGGCAAAGGCGAAGACACTACTTAAAGGGTCATGGGACTTATTAATTGGGGTTATAGATGAGGCAACTATACCTATAATTCCTTAAAACCCCCATTTAGGTACTTAGAACCTTACTTATTAAGTCCCATGATCCTCCAAGTAAGGAGTAGGGGCTTGAATAATTGGAATAGGGTTTTCGGGGTTCCTTATTATAATGAGTTCTAATATAGACTTTTTTAATATAACATAGTATAATATAGTATAATATAGTATAATATAATATAACAAAATATATTATAATGTATAATATAATAATATATTATACCCCGGGGCCCCCAAACCCTAGTCCAGTTCTTAAGGCCCCTACAGTGGCCCTACAGTACTCTGTTGAGATCCCATAAGAAGGTGGTGGCCTCGAATCTCTCTTCAACCGCCTGCAATGCTCTGGATAAGCTTCCAACGCTTCTTTGGGCGGTTCGAGGCCACGACACCTTGGCTCCACATAGCACTTGTCCTCAGTTTGTTCTTTTGAGGGGGGGGGTGGTATGTTAATATTTGGGTAACGTGATCCTTGGTTTTGATACAAGCTAAGGCGGCTTCGCTCGTTCTTTAGATTGTTACATTGATAGGTTTGGTGCGTGCATGCCGTCTGAACTGATTGCATGTCAACTCCTTCGTTCAAGAAATGTCAATAAATCTTCAATATTTGGCCCAGAGGAGTGAGAATGACAGGTTGGCGCGATGGTGTGCTTTTCCAAACTTCCTCATGGCGTTCTAGAGTATGGAGGTATCTGTTCACAAACATGTTCGGAGGCAGAGAAGTACACCTTCCTAAACCTCGAATGCTTATATTGGAACAGTGCGCCTACGCCCTTACACCTAAACCGCAGGCCATTCACCCCTAAGCCCGTCATCATGGTCATGTTATCGAGGGTGCAACCATCAAGGACGTTATCCAGCACAAGAATACTGCCATAGGTAAACCTAGAGCCCTTGATTCTACATCCAGAGCCAACAGCCATAGAGCGGAAAGCCTATAAAGCCCGCATCGCCGACCAAAACCATGAGTATAAATGCCTCAAAGGGGCTCCTATATCATATAACTAGGTGGCACTCTGGGAAACGCCCTTACCCATAGGCTCCATTATAGTTCGCATTTGTGGTTTGATCCTATGAGGTGACCCATAAGCCCTTGGAGGACAGAAACCATGTCGAAGGGCAAAAGTGCTGAACACTCTACAGGCTTATTCTAGGTTGGATTTTGGGACATTTTTTGTTTTCCTTATTTGGGTTTATAAGGGGCCCTATATATAGATATTTTTCAGTGTGTTTGAAAGCCAACCCAGTATTGTCAATGGTCGAAATGAAAACCCGACCCACCTTAACATAACTCAGGCCGATCCCTTTAACCCTCGACCCTAAGCCACGAACCTGTAACACAAACCCAGGATCTGAGCGTTTATGGGTTTAGGTTTTCGGGTGGAGCTGCTCAGGAAAGTGCAGATTTGGGTCCCTGCATTTTGGAGCTCCACGAGAGCCTGGCCAGTCTCCGTAAGGAGGCACAGGGAGTACGAACCTGGGTTTTAGTTTCTTTTGTTAGTACCTGTAGTGTCTAGTTACTAGTTATGGTACTTCCTTCTTTCGAGTACCTTTAAAGACTGACAAGGAAGGCAGGGCTAATGGGTTTAGGGTTTAGGGGTTTAGGGTTTAAAAGAGTTGTTGTTTCTGCGGTCTTGATTAAGTGTGGGTGTGAGTTTCTGTTGCTTGAGCTTTGGTCAGCAGGTCCGTAGTAAGGGTGTAGGCAAACGGCAAACAATCATTAGTAGTCACACCGAGGGTTTTGTGTGTTTGGGGTTTCTCGGGGCGGGTGGGGGGGAAGCGGGGATGGCGGTGGCGGGGGTGAAGGGGGGGGGGGGCGGGGTTACCGTCCTCTCACGCCCCATAACACTGGTTATATACAGCGTTTTTCCTCGTTGCACTGCCCAAGCATGTTTGACATCTCTGGAACAAGACACGGTGTCATGAGCATTCTGTCCATTGGCAAACATGCCCACGACACTGGCATTTACAGCTTTTTTTTTTTTCTGCCCTGCGCGCCACTGCACGAGGATATGGAAAAAGACATGCTGTCACAAGCAATCATGCATGTGTCGAACATGCCCCAAGACACTGGTATTTGCAGTGTCATTTTTGGCACGATGATAGCTGCCATTGCAGGCGATGCCTCTGTTAACCTACTCTGTAGAGAAACTTCACTGCACGCAGTGCTTGGGGCAGCAAAAAAGCATTTTCAAAATCACGGACTTCCAAATCGCGATTCGCATCGGTTTGTGCAGTGTTTTCGTGCCTGCATGCGCAAAGGTGCGGGTATTTTGAGCCAAAAAGCAGCTCTGTGACAGTTTTTGCATGTTTTCGTGCAAAACGACCAGGGTCATAATCAACGGCCTAATAACAGGCTTTGGGGTTTTGGTTTAAGGTTAAGGAAGATCCGAAGCCTTTTGTCCATGCTTGTCCGGATCTACCTTCCCTTACAGGAGCCACGACGGAATGCTCTGCTTCGCCCCTAAACCCTAAAACCTGAGCCCTAAACCCTGAACCCTAAACCCTAACCCTGAACTTTAAACCCTAAACCATTTTTTTCTTGGCGGATGAGTTCTCCCCCCCTAAATGCCCACAAACCGACCCGGAACTCGAAAACCCGGTCCTGGAACTGAAGCAAAGGAACCTGGGCTTCGGAGTACCACGGTTTAGGGTTTAGGGTACTCTTTTGGGACCTGTTACTTAAAAGGAACCAATCATGAGACAAAAGTCTATACTTTTTCCTCCCTGGTTACTTCAAAGCCCAGGAACTGACTACATCGATCTGCTGAAGCAGGTACAGTATCTGGGTCCTGGAGTTCCATCTACCTTTTTACGTGTTTTTTGTTGGTTTTTCTTTGCGGGGGCCGGTTCCTTAAAGGAAGCATGTGGCTACCGCCCCCAATCAGAAACAGAGGAATAATGCTTTTGATAAATTACCTTGATGTATTTATATTTGTCGACATAGAAAGCCCTTACTAGTGGCCCGGTTATAGACTGTTACTATATATAAGGGGGCAGTGCCCAAGGTAGCAGCATGAAATACAAGCTTATACCTTTTTTCCTTCTGGTTGCCTCAAATCCCAGGTATCTGGGGCACTGCACACAGGCCGCTTGTGACGACTTTCACATAAGGGATTCTGCCTACACCCTGGATTTTGGTGTCTTTTCCAGTAGCGGTGTTTCACTTATTATAGGATGCTAAGCTCAAATTTTGGATTACCTTAACGATTCGGGGTCTGCCATAGGCATTCGAGACCTGAGCTAGGGTAGGATCCCCCGTGATGAGGACCCTTCATCTTCTTCATTCTTCAAAGCGCCCGCAGTATAAGACCTTAGCAAGATCCCACACACTCTTCCCAGAGACTCCACTATCCCTTAAGTAAGGAATACACCTTAAACTATAGTGGGATCCCTAATATGATTTCAGGTATATTCCTTAAGTAAGGGATATTGGAGTCTCTGGGTTCAAGACCCCACAGAGTTCTTAGCATTTAGGTTTTGTTTTTTTTGAGGGAAGTAACCTTAAACTTTTAAGTGAGGTTACGATGGACCTGGTCATCATCAGCTCATTACCCGAGCCGGCGCAAGACGAGAATGGCACTCTTGGTTGTTCATTGTTAGTTTTTAGGGTTTAGGGTTTAGGTTTTTGTTGGTTGAGGGTTTTAAGGGTTAGGTGACAATATAACGACCCCCTTGAAATATGGTGTGTAGGCCTGTAACCCTACACCCGAAAGCCTAATTCCCCATACGCGAAGCCCGAAAATCACCTCACAACCCTAAACTCTGAGCCTATAGCCCTAAACCCTATAGCCCTCTAACCCGACTTCTTCATAGATACATGACAGTAGCGAGATGGGGTCTTGAAAATGATTGAATACAACAAGAATGATTCCACCTGTACCCTACGATTACTTTAAAGGGTGACGGGACTTGGTAGCTAGGGGTATGATTAAGCTAATTATGCTTAGGCTGACTTCAGGTACTCGTAACCTAACTTCCTACGCCCAATTGACCATCCAAGTCTCTGAACCCTAGCTAAACCCACAACCTTAAGCTCGATAGATCCCTTGTAGAACCCATTGCCGAAGCCTTCAAGTAGGCTATTTGCTTTTCTGAACACCAGATCCCATCTAGAAACCTTAACAAGTGTGGGTATGACCTTTTAGGTACTTTATGCGTAAACATTCCTAGCTAAATCCTAGACCCTTTAAGGAGCCCTTCAAGCGGCGCTTTTTCGAAGCCTCTATGTTACCACGTCCCATGATCTTCCACGTAAACCCTAAGCCCTGAATCGCTATAAATCCCGTAAAGGAGCCTTTAGACAAATCCAAGATCCCTTAACAGGAGCCCGTAAACACCCCCGTAAATTCTCCCCCTAATGAATCCTATGGCTTAGATAAATCCCTATAGATCCCTTACATGAGCCCTTAAAGGAGCCTCCCCTTATCAATCCCTACAGATCCCTTCATGGAGCCATTATTATGGGAGCCCCCCAGTCAACCCTAGGCCCTAAACCCTAAATCCCTGCAGATCCCTTAATCAACGGTTGAAACCATGGGCCCTTAGCCTTGGGATCCGTATATCCCTACGATATACTCTATACAGACTCTTAAGGGTCCCTCGAACTCCTTCAACAAGGCCAAAAGGGTCATATTAGAGGCCCATACTTCCAACCTTGGACTTAAAAGGAGCCCTTAAACACCACCAAATTCCCCCCCCCCCCGGAGGAATCCCTTGGAATATGGGCTTAAATAATTACCAATACTATATCGTGGGGACTCCTTTTTATGTTTATAAGTATATAATATGCCAAAACACTATTCCAATTATTATTAAGGTTTCTATATTAGAGAACTACCGAGGCATTCTCAACTCTAAACCCTAAATCTCTATAGATCCCTTAGATGGAGCCCTTAAGTACGCCCCTAGTGAATCCTTGGCGTTCTTCTGGTTGACTCTTAGGACTTTAACTTTGTGGGGCTTCTATGTTAGCTTTTATAAGGAGGCTAAAGGTTTAACCCATCTGCAGGGGCTCAGGAGTCAGCCAAGACTTTGAGAATCCTAAACCCTAAACCCAACGAGGCAGTCTCGAGTGCCCAGTCGACCTCTGCTCGCAGCTTACCGAAGCGCAGACAGAGTCGAAGAAGTACCTGGAATTAACACTCATCCATCTGGAAGCTCGGCGTTTGGGGTTTGGGGTTTAGGGATTAGGGATATATGTTTATAAAGGAATTAACACTCCTCCATCTGGAAGCTCGGAGGATTTGAGTAGGGTTTATGAGGGTTTAGGGTTCAGGGTTTAGGGATCAGGGAATTAACGCTCATACACCTGGAAGCTCGGCGTTTGGCGTTTAGGGTTCAGGGGTTTAGGGTTCACGATTCAGGGACTAGGATTAACACTCATCCACGTGGAGGCTCGGAGGATTTTGGTATGGTTTTTGGTTTATTTATGAGGTTTGAGACGATCAGGATCAAGGGCTTTACGCATTAGGATCTACCTGGAAGCTCGGCAATTACGGCGTTAGGGTTTAGTGGTTAAGGTCTGAAACTGGGGTTTTATGCATTAGGATCTACCGCAGAGGCCTGATCAACAAGCCCCCTTCCATTGAAGACAAGAATAGTAGTCGGGATCCTAATTCCTCATGCCTTCAACAAAGGGGGGGTGCTTTTTGGCTCCAATCGTACTATACTGTGGCCGTTCTGGACTTCTTAGGTAGAGACTTTTAGGGCCTTGCATGAGTCGAGTACGTCCTACACCCTAAATCCTAAACCCCAAAGTCCATGTTACGTGAGCACGCGGGTTTAGGGTGAGGGTTTCGTCTTCGAGATTGGGTGTTTTGGTTTAGCGTGAATGTTTGCGATATAACAACACCCTAAGCCCTAAAACCCTAAGCCCTAGACCCGGGTTTAGGGTGAATGTCTGCGATGTACTTTTCCCAGTGAACCTTGAGTTTCCCTCCTTGGAGAGCTGGACGAAAGCCTTACCTTAACCCCAAATAGTCTACCTTTTTAGGGACCTATATAAAGAAATCATATTATGGGGCCCTAAAAAGGCAGGTTCCTTAGGGTGCAGGTAGTAGTAGAGTAGGTAACGTTTCACCAACGTTTCACCGTTTTAAATCCCCTTATAGTCCCAAAGGTTTACTGTTGGTTCCCTAGCATATTCGAGAAGCAAGAAGCCGTATAGCGCTCTGCAAGGTAGGGTTTTGGTGTTTTGGGTCTTACGGCAATCACAATGACCAGTTCATTGAGGTCCCTGGTGTAGGATCGTTACGAAAGTTAATCCTGTTTAATGGGGAGGGGCTTGTTAATGAGGGCTTTGAACGAACAACTTTAACCCTAAGCCCAATACCCTGAGCACTAAACCCCAAATCCTAAACCCGAACCCGCTAGACCCTAACCCTTCAACACTAGAGCCCCCCAATAGATCGTTCTGTAGAGCCCCTCATGGAGCCCCCCAAGGAATCCCTAAACCATCTCGCAGGGAGGGGGTTCCCTAAGCGCAAACCATAAAACCCCAGACACTTGCAAGAATCTGAGTTCTTGTTAAGGAACTTAATAGAAGTTATCATGATAGGGATCTATCGTAAATAACGCGGTTTCTTCGTTATGGTAACTTAAACCAAGTCCCTTAAACAAGGACCCATAAATAGCACCTGAAGCCCTAAACGTACCCTATAGTTGCCTTATGGAGCCCTCCAAGGCGCTGTTTAAGGAATCCCTACAACGAGCCTCAGAAAGTTAGAACATGGGTTTAGGATGATTAGGGCTAGGGCCCCTTATAGTTTACCAGAAGGGCATGAGGGTTATAATGTTCCGAATTTTTGGCTACTACTATAAACATTCGAGCTCTAGACCCTATAGCTCCCTTATTTGAGCCCTAAACCGTAAATCCTGCACCCCCAAACCCTAAGCCCTAAAAACTCTAAACCCTAACTCCCTCGATCTTGCAAGGATAGCATGTGCCAGATTTTGGAGGAGTGCTCTGATTTCTGGTTGCTGCTGGGCTTTGGAGCACCGTACTTTAATACTTTTTTACTTTAAATACCATTATGAAATAGAAGCTTATACTTTTTCTTCAAGGAACCATTATGAAATAAACGTTTATACTTTTAGGGTTTAGGGTTGGTTCTCCCTGGTTACTTAAACGCCCAGGATGTTGCACAATGCAGAACTGAAGCTCCGAAAACTCGCGGCTGGGCTTAAGGTTCAGTACAGGGGCCTAAATACCCAAAGGCTCCATGTAGCTTTATAGTAGGTACTTAAGCCTTACAGGGGTTCCTATATAGGTACTTTAAGGCCTAAGTATATGCTATATGGGTACATGGAGCCTTAGGGATAATTACAAATACCATTTGGGGGGGTTCCTAATTATGATTATAGTATACTGGGTCCCAAGACCCTATTCTAATCATTCTGCCCCTATATTATATTCGGGTGTAGGGCTCAGTGCAGGGTTTGGGGTTTAGGGCTATAGGGTTATATCGTAGCAGGTTTGTAGGTTTACGGTTTGGGGTTTACGTCTCCGGTTGTTGGTCAGGGTTTCATTTGTGGGGCTGTGGGAGTGCTAGTCTGTTCGTAAAGTTCGTAAAGTTGTCCCCTAAAGTACAAGCCAGAAAGTTGGAATATGATTATCCTAAACCCTTTGTGGTAAATTATAAGGTATCCTACCCTGAAACCATATTCCAACTTTCTGGCTTCTACTATAAACCCTAAACGGTTTCAGTAATGGTGTTCTGTTTAAGTCATTGGTTGTGGAAATACCGGGTTGCCACACCCAAAAAGAAAGCCCTTCGGCTCCAGGTGCCCATGTAGTATATACTTAGGCCTTAAAGTACCTCCAGAGGGACCCCTTTAAGGCTTAAGTATCTACTACCATGGTACATGGAGCCTTTAGCCCTTACTGTGTCGTTTTCATCCGTACGTAGGTTCTTAGGGTTGAGAGGATATAGTGTAGATAGCTAGGAAAGACAGAACTTAATTCTTGACACAAGGCCTCATATTCAAGCGGAGGAGCAAGAACCTTCTAAATCATATGCAACCCTGGACAAGTCTAAAAGCCTAAATCATCTTGTTGTCCTCGACCTCCGAAGCCTAAACCCACTAAACCCCTAAACCCTACACCCTAAAACCCTAAACCCTAAACCCAGAACTGAGGAGAAGGAGTCCAAAGCCTTCTGCGAGGATCGGGGCACCGAGCCCCTTCTGAGTATACACCGTTTGAGCGGAGGGAAAGCAGCTTTGCAAAGCTTCTGCGAGCACGTGCGGCGCCTTGGTACTTCAGGGGTCTACTTTAAAAGGCTCATGGGACTTAGTAAGTAGGTTATAATTGGCGTTACAAGTCCCCTAAGTGGGGTTATCGTACTTATTATCGTAGGTATAACCTTACTTACTAAGCCCCCTGAGCCTTTGAGTGCTTCATCCCCCAAGCTCAAATCCTAGACCCTTCAAAACCAGAAAGCGAGACGAATAAATCAGCAACAAAACTCACACACGAGTCCATGAAGCCCTATGAGTTGTTTTGGCTCAAGAAAACTGCCCTTTTGGAAGTCCTAAACCCTGAACTCTAGACTCTAAATTTCCTTTGGGAACGAATAGACTCCAATATCTCTTCATTGAGGAATATGTACATTAGATATCATGGCAGATCACTAGTATGATTTAAGGAATATTCCTTAATTAAGGGATGTTGGAGTCTCTTTTTGGGAGCATCTCAGGTCCTTCTGTGGCGTGTACTCCGGGATCCCGACAACTAGCTCTGAACTGCCAAAGGTAGCCCGGGCTAACTACGGTTTCAGGGCTTAGGACGGGTTAGCGGTTTAGAGTTTAGGGAGTTTAGGGTTTCAGGGTTTAGTATGGTTTAGGCATTGCAGGTTGCTGGGATCTTGCTCTGTGGGATACAAGGCTTGTAATTTCGGGAGCCTTATATGTTGATCCCTCCAAGTAGGGGGAAGTCTTAACCCCAGGCAGAAACCCTAAACGCCTAAACCCGTAAACCCTAAACCCCTAAACCCTAAACCCCTAGCTCTGAGCCCCTAAACCCAAAGCCCTGTTGGGGTTCGGCTTCCTGCCGGGCCCACATGGCAAGAGCCTGGTCCAAAATGCGGCTGCTTCCAGCCAGCTCGTGCGCATCTGTCTCGAAAAAAGGAGTTAGGCTTCAGAAATCAGGGTTTTGGGGTTTTGGGTTAAGGGTTTTGGGGTTTAAGGTTTCGGGTTTGGGCTTTAGCGTATAGGGTTTAGGCTTCAGGGCTTACCCGGATCCTGCACAACCTACGTTTTCCGAGCCTTACTTATATGCCCTTCAAACAGCAGCTTACTTGGGGAGAAAAGCAAAGGTAGGGTGAATTCCCAGGCGAAGGAAAAGGAGCGCAGAGTGGCATACGCATGAACTTGCAGACATAAGACATGTGGCCTGACCCCAAGGGTCCATGTGCGCAAATAGTATATACTTTGCCCGAAAGTACCTATAGACTTGGCGTTCTTCTGGTTGACTCTTACGACTTTACCTTTTTGGGTTTCTATATGAGCTATAATATGGAGGCTAAAAGTTTAACATTTTTGGAGCGGCTCAGGAGTCAGTCAAGTAGAGGGACTACTTGAAGGCCAAAACATACAACCCTATACGACTTTGCCACATGGACCCTTCAGGGTTGGAGTAGTACGGTTGATGATATAAATCCTGCATTACCCATAATAGGGGACATACCATATCTCTTATAGTTTAGGGTCCTTAAGGTAATGCAGGATTTATATCATCAACCGTAGAGCATCGGGGTAAGCATCCGAAAGACTCAGCCGTAAGGCGTTTTTTTGTGGAAGGAGCAGGGGCCACCATCCCTAAGGCGCCATGTACCCATCCTGCATATACTTAGGCCTTAAAGTACCTACATGGAGGGGTAAGGGGCTTAGTAAGTCGTTCATAAGTCGGGTTATAATTGGGGTAATTCCATTTAGGGTACTCTACTTCTAACCTACTTACTAGGTAAAGTACCTATATAGGGACCCCTTTGAAGGCTAAAGTATCTACTATAAAGGTACATGGAGCCTTTGGGCATCTCGATCAACAGCCTGTTATACAGGGTACCCCGGGAGGATCTAGAAAGTAGATCCCGGTCTGGGCAAGAAATTGTATCCCTAAACCCTATAAACCCTAACCCCCCCTAAAAAAATCAAATCCCTAAGGATTCCTTTAAGGAATCGTAGCTCCTCGGAAGAGAGAGAATCTGAGAGAAGCACCGTCATGACACACTATAGAGCTGTTGGAAGTAGGATTAGGTGGGGCTTAGTGTTGGGCTCATTAGAACTAGAACCTTATTATCCGAGCATGTCCGAATTCAATTGATAAATCTTACCATCTACATCTTCTTTAAGTTAAGGAATTTATCACAGGTTCCTAGTAGGCAATCAGGATTGCGGAGCAGAGTACCCGTAAACGAGTCCTGTGCTAGCGCTTCTGAACCCGCAGGCGCTGCACTGTACGTAATCGGAACCATTTAGGGACGGCCGCTCTACCCAGACCCCCGGGAGGATCCAAAAAGTAGATCCGTTCATGGGGGTTCCTACAAAGTACCCTTTGTGACTTGGGGCTCCAAATTGGGGGATCTACTTTCTAGATTCTCCCGGGGGCCTGGGTAGAGACTGTACACACTTAAAGGATCTTGGGACTTAGTAGCTCGGGTTGAGATACAAGTACTTGCAGGCTCGATTGCTAAGTCCCATGATCCTTCAAGCAAGCCCGGAGCCCTATAATACTGTATCCGCTGTATGGTCCACTGTGCGCAATCACCTCCGTGAGTGCAGCCTAAACCCTGCAGCCTAAACCCATGAAGCCTGACTCCCTACAGGGCTTGGGGTTTAGGCTTTAGGGTTTAGGGTTCAGGCAGAGTTTCTAGGGTAATCGCCAAATTATTCGAAACATCTCTGGTTGTCCTAAGCCCGAAACATAATTTCCGTAATTAAACCCCAAATCCTAAACCCCTTGCGCAACAGATCTGCGAATTGCTGTGAGAAAGGGCTACAACACATAAAAGAAATTCCAAACCCTAAACCCCCAAAACCCAAAACCCCAAACCCCTTAACCCTAACCCCTTAAACCCTAAACCCTAAAACCCCTAAGCCCCTTAAACCCTAAACCCTAAAACCCCTAAAACCCCTAAACCCTAAACCCCAAAGCTTAACCCTGCTGTCAGGAGCGGGTCGATGATTCGGAGGACTGAAATTGCTTAAAGGATCATAGGACTTAGTAAGTAAGGTTATAAGTAGCTTATAATTAGGATAACCCCACTTAGGGGACTCATAACCCCAGTTATAACCTACTTACTAAGTCCCATGATCCTTTAAGTGGGGCTTCGGGCTAAGAGCACGGGGATTTGCGGTTCAGGGGGCTGGTAGGTTTTGGGGTTTAGGGTTTAGGGGCTGGGTTTTAGGGGTTAGGACTTTGGGGTCTATGGTTTAGGGTCTTGAGTCTTGGGGTTTAGGGGCGTAGGGTTTAGGGTTTAGGGGTTGGGGTTTAAGGGTTTAATAGCACCCCCCAAGTACACTCTACTAATAGAGGCCTTAATTATGCCTGATGGGCTTAGGGATTACCCTAAGCCCAAGTAGCCCTCCCTTTTAAGGACTTATATGGGTGGTTGTCTAAATTTTAGTCCCTTTTTGGGTCCTTAGTCTAATACGGCACTTAATATTTAGGACCTAAAGCGGGGCCATAGTTTTGACAACCACCCGTATAAAGAGATCATATGAGGGAGCCCTAAAAAGGTAGGTTCCCTACTTAAAGGCTCATGGGACTTAGTAAGTAAGGTTATAAGTAGGTATAATTAGGATAACCCCACGTAGGGGACTTATAACCCCAGGTACAACCTGCTTCCTAAGTCCCATGATCCTTTAAGTAGGTTCCAGGCAGGGCTTCGGACTTCAAAGACAAGCGAGCCCAGAACTGCTTGCGGACCTAGGGTTTAGTCTTTAGGGTGTAGGTGCTTCAACTCAGAGTCCTATGCATGGACCCCCCAAACACCCTTTAGTAGTGGGTATTGGGGTATAACAGCGGGTAGTTCGGGAGTCTTGACCTCTCGATCAGGATACCTGAGTGGTGGGCCCCGATGTATGCCATCAGAGAGCACAGGTTGATCACAGAGAGGGTGACATGCATGTACAACAATACCGATCTCATGAAGGTCAAATCAGCCATCCTCACAGCAAACACAGCATTCGTGCGCAACATTGGTCAGGGAGACTTCAGGTTCGTCACGAGATCCGACATGGCAAACAACTGTGACCATCCCAACGTGGCCCTCATGTGCAGTCTTCTGGACCTCCTCGGATACAAGCATTACAGAGACATGACATCTGTGACAGAGGCTGAGGTGGATGACACCCTCAAATCAAAACCCAAAAACAACCTAAACCCTAAACCCTACCTACCTTGAACCTATCGAGGACGACTTCCGCTTTGCAGCGCCCCATGGCGAGCCCGAGCCGGAGTTGTGCACCTTCGACCGACGGGAGGCGACTGATTGGGTTTACTTGGAGGGGCACAGGACTTAGTAAGTAGGTTATAAGTAGAGTTATAAGTACCCTAAATGGAGTTACCCCCAATTATAACCCTACTTGATAAACGACTTGCAAAGTCCCCTGCCCCTCCAAGTAGGGTTCCTCTAAAGGGGACCCTGTTATAGAACCCTATAGTACCCCCTTAAATGGACTCTTGAAGGGTTCCTCTAAGGGATCTATATGAGTTAGGATTTGGGGTTTAGGGGTTTGGAGGTTATGAAGGATTCTTTAAGGGATCTATCTTTAAGGGATCTATGAGGGTATAGGAATCGGGGGTTTAGCAGTTTAGGGGTCTAGGGGTCAACCAGGACCCCCCCAAGGGACCTTTAATAGAGGTCTTATGGCCTGTGCTGGGTGTATGAAAGAGGGTAGTTGGGGGCCTAGGTTTAGAGGTTTCGGGTTTGGGGTTTGTGTTGGGGTTTGGGGTTTAGGGGTTCAGTAAATCAGCGCTTTGGTGGTCTAGGGGTATCAGGGTTTGGGTTTTGGGGTTTGGGGTTTAAGGATTTTGGCGGGGCTAGGGGTCCCTCTTTTAGGAAGCACTGTCAGGATGAGTGTCCGTGGTCTTTTTCGATGTGGGGTATTAGGGCATTAGCATGTAGCACTCAAGGCTTTGGGTTCGGGGTCTATGGCATGGGGACTAGGGTGTCAAGGTTACAGGTTCATTCTTCAAGTTCATAATGACGTGACTATGGCCATGGCGAAACGCTTAAGAAGCTTGAACATCTTGCAACCTGCTAAACCAAACAACAAGGCCTAAAACCTAAACCCTAAACCTTAAACCCTACCCCATCCAGGGTCTAGGTATCCTTCGCTGAAACTGGAACGCTTTGCAGGGTCGGTTTAGGTTTTCCGCTTGCGCTCGTGTGAGGAAACCGTGCGTACGCTTTGCGAGACTCATCTCGTTTTTTTTTTTTTCAGCGAGGGGTTTGGGGCCAGATAGAGACTCGTATATATATATATATGTGTATACACATATATATACACATACATATACATATACATATATATATATATATATAAACACAATTTTGTATTTGTATATGCAGTCCCTGCTGGTGTACCGTAAGGCCCGAAGGGACCATGTGCCCGTACAGATGTGTATGTATATATATGTATGTATGTATGTATATATATATATATATAGACACATGGAATTATTTTCATATGCGTCGTATCGTAGATACCATGAACCTGAGGTTACTATACTCAGAAACCCTTGAATGCATAAGGGTATATTGTATCGGTACATGGGCACTGAAGGGCCAGGGTTTGGGATTGAGGGTTTAGTGTTTGTTGTTGAGAACTCAAGGTTAGGGTTCCTTATCATGATTTCCTTATATGAATCCTTGAAAAGGTGAGTTATTTGGGGTTAAGGTACCCAGGGGCCCCAAAATGTTCGGTTCTGCTGAAGCAGAAACATGTACAACGCCACGAATGATTAGCAAGTGAACAGCTTCGGGCTTGTAGGGTGGTTCTGGGTTATAAATCTCGAAGCCACCATCTACAACATGGGCTTGGGATTGTGAGGTCTTACTCTGCCTGGACAGGATAAGGAGGCTCAACATCTGGCAATCGTTTAGCGTGTCAGCCTACACATAGATCGGTGGATTGCTAGGATGACACGCATCGTCTGCACTGACTGCCAGGTTTGTCAAGCTCAAGCCAGTGATCCGAAACTGGAGCCATGAAGTGGTCGTGCGCGCTTCAAGCGCTTGCAGGGTTCCTCGCCCTGCTGGCTGCAAGCTTACAAGGCTGCGGCTGCGATGCGACGAAGGCCACGGAATGCATCTCCACCTGGGAACAGTTTGTACTGGACAACCGAAATGATATCTTGGACGGGGCAGTGACGCGACCGTGCGCAGCATTGAAGGACATGGTCAATTGCATCATGGACCTCCAGTGTTGCGAAGATTATGAGATCAGCCAAAGCATGAACAACGGCATCAACGCCATCGCGTCCAACGGTGGGTGCACAGGTGACAATGCATTGCCAAACTGTAACTTCTGAGCCATGAGCCGTGACTAGGTCCTCCAGTGCTACCTTTGTGCCCTGTTGGGGTATGCCTACTTCCTCCAGCGGCGCCCTTGTTGGGTAGCGTATACCCCGAGACCCTAAACCCTAAAGTAGGGACCCCAAAAAGCACGTAAGCACAAGCATTTTATGGGGATATCCGTACCTTGTTGGGCTTCAAATTCAGGGGATTTATATGGGATATCCCTATCCTTATTCTTGCTTATGTGCTTTTTTGGGGCCCTATCATGGGGCACACTGGAGACCTCCGTCTTGTTGTGCATGCGCGGGCCCTGTGATGACGGCAAGAAGTCAGGGCAACACCTGCATGTCTTAGTAGCTGAGTAGGTTTAGGGTTTAGGAGTAGGTAACTTAGGTAACCTTCAACCGTTTTGGGGTTCAAAAACCGACCATAACTGAAAAGGTTATCATTTTGTTGGCTAATGTTGCAGTTTCACAAACAGACGAACGTGGACCCACAATGTAGGGGGAACTCCACGGACCATGACCTTGTGGCAGGATCACGAATGTCGTTGCTGGGCTGGGCCTCACTCGTATGTTTTGCATACCCTCCTGCTACTGTACACAATTCCCAATGACATTGAGTGTTGGGCTATGCAATGAGGAATGATAGGAATCCATGGAGGAGCCGTGCTAGCTTTTGGAGTGGATGGTAATTCTACCAGTGGTGGTGCTAGCACTAACCGTGACTAAGCTTCAAGTGCTTTAGATTTGTTGAACAGAAGCCGTAGGACATCGTGAGAGAACGTAGTGCCGCTGATGCTGCTGATTCGCCTCCTGCCACTGCTGAAATGACTACGACGTAGTAGTAGTAGTAGTAGTAGTAGTAGTAGTAGTAGTAGTAGTAGTAGTAGTAGTAGTAGTAGTAGTAGTAGTGGTAGTGGTAGTGGTAGTGGTAGTGGTAGTGGTAGTAGGAGTAGGAGTAGGAGTAGGAGTAGGAGTAGTAGTAGTAGCAGCAGCAGTAGGAGTAGTAGTAGTAGTAGTACTAGCAGGAGTAGCAGTAGTAGTAGTAGTAGTAGTAGTAGTAGTAGTAGTAGTAGTAGTAGTAGCAGTACTAGCAGGAGTAGCAGGAGTAGCAGGAGTAGCAGGAGTAGCAGTAGTAGTAGTAGTAGTAGTAGTAGTAGTAGTAGTAGTAGTAGTAGTAGTAGTAGTAGTAGTAGTAGTAGTAGTAGTAGTAGTAGTAGTAGTAGTAGTAGTAGTAGTAGTAGTATAGTAGTAGTAGTAGTAGTAGTAGTAGTAGTAGTAGTAGTCGTAGTCGTAGTATAGTAGTTTAGTAGTTTAGTAGTTTAGTAGTATAGTAGTATAGTAGTATAGTAGTATAGTAGTATAGTAGTATAGTAGTACAGTTGTATAGTTGTATAGTTGTATAGTAGTATAGTAGTATAGTAGTATAGTAGTATAGTAGTATAGTAGTATAGTAGTATAGCAGTATAGTGGTCTAGTGGTATAGTAGTATAGTAGTATAGTAGTACAAAGTAGTGTGGTCGTATAGTAGTATAATAGTATAGTAGTATGGTACTATAGTAGTATACTGGTATAGTAGTAGTAGTCGTAGCAGCAGCAGTAGTAGCAGCAGCTACTAGTAGTTGCAGCGGGAGCGGGAGAGCAGGCGAGCAGGAGCAGGAGGAGGAGCAGCGGGAGGAGCAGCAGGAGGAGCAGAAGCAGGAGTTGCTGTTGTTGTTGCTGTTGTTGCAATGCGTAACTGAACTAAGGTTTCATGAACTTAACTAGACATATGGAGGTCGAAAGGTCAGTTTCACACCGAGTGAGTGCACCGTGCATGCGTGAAGTCCGCTTGCACGGTGTCCAATTGCAATTGCTGTTGTTGCTGCTATTCCTCGGTTGTGTTGGTGCTAGTGTTAGTGTTGTTCTCAGGATAGGACCGGTCGTCCGAGTTGGTCCTGGTTGTCCGAATTCTCCCAGTAGTCGTAGTTGTGGCACTGTAGTCATATTCGCAGTCGTCGCAGTAATCGTAGTAGTTGCAGAACTCGTACAAGCCGTAGTCGTCGTTGTAATCGTCGTCCAAGCAGCACTAGCTGGAGCAGTCGCAGTTTCAAAGCAGTAGAAGCAGCAGTGGCAGCAGTCGACGTTGTCGTCGTAGTAGACGTCGCCGGACTTGCGTACCACAGGCTAGTGTCATGTTTTCATTGCAGACGGGTGTACCCTTGATGCCATGGTCCGAAAGCGCAGCCCAGTATCATCTTTTCACCCAGATCAGCACAACGAAGAGTTTCAGTGTCGAGCCCCCGCGCATATGAGTGTTTTCAATTCTTGCGGCCGCAGATGCTGCACGGCACATCTGGTTCTGCATCCTGCCACAAAAGAGACGCCTCACACAGACTCCGCTTGAAGGGGCAGGGGACCTAGTAAGTCGTTTATGAGTAGGGTTATAATTGGGCTAACTCCATCTCGAGTACTTATAGCTCTACTGATAGCCTACTTACTAAGTCCCTAAACCCTAAACGCTAAACCCTACACCCTATAAACCGTAAGCCCTACTTACTAAGTCCCCTGCCCCTCCAAGCAAGGGCAGATGATCGAGTTTCAGGGTGTATGGGCCCGGACTCAAGCAGGGCTTCGTCCAAGTCAGGAAAACCTTTTGTATTGAATTTCCGGGTTTTATTTTGGGATCTTTTTTGATTTCCCCTACTATTTTGTAGAGAACCATACTAGTAAATAATTTCAAAGGGCTTAAAGGACAACTCAGATATTTACGGTAACTAATGAGCTAACATAGGAGCCTCAATTATTACCATAAGACTGTTTTGGGGACTCCTTAGAACAAGATACCCTCAAACCCTTTCGTAATGATTATAAGGCGCCCCCCCATGGTAAGTACACCCTACCCAGACCCCCCGGGAGGAGCCAAAAATCAGATCCCTTAATCGGGTTCCTAAAAAGTACCCTTAGTAGTATAGGGCCCCATTAGCAGATCTACTGTCTAGATCCTGCCGGGTGTCTGGGTAAGGAGACGCAACTCAGAAGCAGGTTTGGGATGCTCTTTGGGGTTTAGGCGGTTTAGCCCACTGTCACTAACACAGGCTCTGGTAGTGCTAGGGGAGAAAGAGGGTATCGGGCCCTGGGTACACAGAACTTCACCGACCCCTCAGCCCTAAACCCCCAACCCTAGACCGTAAAGCGTCCACCCCTGGCCCTAAACCTATACACTTTATATACACGTTTTGGGATCATACTACCCACTATAAAACTGAAGATGTACACTTTTTTGGGATAATACTACCCACTATAAAACTGAAAAGTGTACATTTTTTGGGGCTTATGAACCCAGTAACTAGGCTAAACACTGGCTCTTCAGTCCCTCCACCACAGCCATGGCCAGGAGCGGCGGCCCCGAAAGACATTCCCAAGGATCGAGCCCAGGACCGGCTCAGGCTTCACTTTTAGCAGGGTTTAGGGTTTAGGGTTCAGGGTTTTAGGGTTTAGGGTGTAGGGGTTTAGGGGTTTGGCGCCCAAATTTGGAAGCCTCATAGCTTTAATCCTTATAAGAGTAATCTATAAGGAATCACAGCACTATTTGGCCTTAATCCGGCTTCCAACTTTATAAGGTTTACTGTAGTTAATACTTACCTGTATAGTAAGTACCTATACTATTTTGGGGTTACCTTATTATAGCCTATATTGGGCCCCAAAACCCTGTTGTAATTATTTAGGCCCTTTAGTACCAGCAGGGTCCCAGACCTTTCAAGATCCCTTGACTCACGCGGTACGGTTGATGATATAAATCCTGCATGACCCATCATAAGGAATATATACCTTAATTCCCATAGTTTCGGGTCCTTAAGGTAATGCAGGATTTAATATCACCCTAAACCCTATAGATCCCCTTAAAGTAACCCCTTAAAGGTACCCTTATAGATCCCTTTAAAGGAACCCTTAAGGTAATGCAGGATTCTTTATCATCAAGAGTAGCATTCAGCCGCTAGGACCTCCATCTAGACCACAGCTAAGCCCCAAGGCTCCAGGTACCTAATATTCATATGGGTGGTTGTCAAAATTAGGTTCCCGTTTGGGGTCCTTATTATAATACAGCACCTAATATCTAGGGTACCCCAAAAGGGGCCCTAATTTTGACAACCACCCATATGATCTCCCAAATCCTAACCTACATAACTACTATCATATCCGAAAACCGAGCACCTAATTATTGAGTGCTTCGGCAAGCCTCAGCCTACATTGAGGGTTTGGGGTCTTCTAAACAATGCCAGCGTGCCTGATGCAGGCATAGGCCTTCAACTGTTCACGATTGGTGCGCATGGTTAAGTCCTTGTTCCTTAACAATCCGATTGTTTGTGGTTGTTTTGAGCTTTCCCAAAACCCTGAAGCCAGAGCCTAAAATCAGAAAGCCAAGACTAGTTTGGAAGCAAATTCCACAGCACTTGAGAGGCAAGGAGAAGAATGCAGACTAACATTACTAATCATTACTAGTGGCAGAGGGAGGCACAACAACAACCAACCCGCCGACCTGCACAACAGATTGAAGATCTAGGACGGCGTCGTGCAAAGGGCCGCAAGTCTCTCCAGCTCCCCGTCGTGCTGGGAAGGCGCTGTGCAAAACTTCGGTGGTTTGCTTTTGTAGTCCTAGGATTATATATAATAGGTCCAGGGTTTAGGGTGTTAGGGTTTCGGGTTGTCGGACTTGATCAGCTTGTATATACGCGCGTATGTGACATAGCTCCACAGAAGTACCTTAGATGGGCTCTTATTGACTCCTGTTACTATAGAAGTTCCATGATCCTTCAAGTCGAGCCGCAAAGCTCTGAAGCCAAACTTCCCCCCCCTCCTAAGCCCTGCTCTGCTCGTGAAGACCCGTATGCCTTATGTTATATTGTCTTCACAAACCCCTGGGAGGATCCAAACAGCAGATCCCAAAAGGGCTTCCTGTAAAGTACCCTCTAGCAGTATGGGATCGCAAATTAGGGATCTGCTTAGATCCTCCGGTTAGTTTGTTTCAAGAA